CCAACCATCATCCATCCATCCATCATCCAACCAACCATTATCCATCTATCCATCATCCAACCAACCATTATCCATCCATCATCCATCCAACCATCCATCATCCATCCAACCGTCCGTCATCCATCCATCATCCATCTATCCATCACCCAACCATCATCCATCCATCCATCATCCAACCAACCATTATCCATCTATCCATCATCCAACCAACCATTAACCATCCATCATCCATCCAACCATCCATCATCCATCCAACCGTCCGTCATCCATCCATCATCCATCTATCCATCACCCAACCATCATCCATCCATCCATCATCCATCAATCATCCAACCATCATCCATCCAACCATCATCCAACCATCATCCATCATCCAACCAACCATTATCCATACATCCATCAATCATCCAAACATCATCCATCCATCAATCATCCAACCATCATCCATCATCCAACCAACCATTATACATCCATCATATATCCATCAATCATCCAACCATCATCCATCCATCAATCATCCATCCAACCATCCATCATCATACATCCATCATCCAACCATCATCCATCCATCATCCAACCATCGGTCATCCATCCATCATCCATCTAACCGTCATCCAACCATCCGTCATCCATCCATCATCCAACCAACCATTATCCATCCATCCATCATACATCCAACCATCCATCATCCATCCATCATCCATCCAACTATCATCCAACCAACCATTATCCATCCATTCATCATACATCCATCATACATCCAACCATCCATCATCATCTATCAGTCATCATACATCCATCCATCATCCAACCATCCATCATACAGCCATCATCCAGCCAACCATTATCCATCCATCCATCATACATCCAACCATCCATCATCCATCCATCATCCATCCAACTATCATCCAACCAACCATTATCCATCCATTCATCATACATCCATCATACATCCAACCATCCATCATCATCTATCAGTCATCATACATCCATCCATCATCCAACCATCCATCATACAGCCATCATCCAGCCAACCATTATCCATCCATCCATCATACATCCAACCATCCATCATCAAACATCCATCCATCCATCATACATCCAACCAACCATTATCCATCCATCATACATCCATCCATCATCATACATTCATCCATCCATCAATCCACCCAACCATCCATCCATCATCCAACAATCATCCATCCAACCATGGGTGAGGTCTTTTTAAACCATCTTCCAGTAGTTTTTCTACAGAGTCTCATGAGGGACATATCTGGCACCTTCAAAATAAAATGTTCAGAGAGGACCTTCACCTACGTTTTATTGTTGAAATCTCTGAACCATCCAATGAGAAGCATTGTTTCAGCCCCCCGGTGTATCTTACTGTGTTCATGTTGTGATGTAACGGGGACACAACGAGCAGCTTTAATCTTTATTTGTGTTGATGTAACACAACCTTTGATTGTTTGTGTGTTCAGAGCTCTGACACCATGTTTGTTGGGATTTGGAGCCACAGAAACAAACTGAACTGAATTTAGAAATAATAACCTGTCAGATCACCAACCCTCCAGTCCTGCTGTAGACCCGTTTGTCTTTCAGTGAAGGTCCAACAGAACCAGCAGAACCATGCTGGTGAAGGAAATACTTCCTGCACTTATTTAAAACTGTGCTTTGAATGGTCCGATTGTTTTAAACTGAAAGAATTCAGAACAACTCGGAAAATTCCTCGTTTGCACCCAGATGGAAACTGAGGAAAAGAGGGTCCAGTTCCAAACATGGCCCGGTTTAATGTTCCAAACATGGCCCGGTTTAATGTTCCAAACATGGCCCGGTTTAATGTTCCAAACATGGCCCGGTTTAATGTTCCAAACATGGTCCGGTTTAATGTGACAAACAAACAGACTGGACTCACAACCCTGCAGACATGCTGAAGCTCTTCACTGTGTAGAGCCACAGAAACATGAAAATCACTCGTGTAAAAACAAACGTTCAGAGGAAAACTTCAGGGTTTCACTTGGTCATTTTGGCACCTTGTTGATTTTAATCTCTGAAGCTCAGCTGGGACTGGTTCTGGACCAGAACTGGACCCAGCAAACGTACAGCTGCATGTTCTGAAGGTTGTTTGGTTCTGCTCGGAGCAGATGATTGTGCTGCTGCTGATGTTGATGATTGTTCACCACTAGGGGGCTCCAAACCTCTGAAAACCCAGTCCTGTCAGAACCATCAGGTCCAGTCCGGTCCACTGTGTTTCCTTCCAAGCTGCCAGGACTTTTCAGTCTCGAACCGGCCCCAGTGCTTCTGGATCCAGGTGGATTTGGAGAACCTTCCTGTCCCGTCTCCACAGGAGGAGTTTGTGCTTTGGTGTTTTCTGTGTCTGGGTTCTGTGGACAGCACTGTCAGAGGAAAGACTTGGGCTGCTTCACAGACAGGGTCCAGGTCTTAGCTGATCCAGAACAGGCCGTCAGCTCGGACCAAATAAGACCTTCAGTCCGTTCGGTTATCTGAAGTCTTTCTTATCTTTCTAAAAACAGAGGTGACGCCTGAGTCCAGCGCCTGCTTCAGCTCTGAGCCGACAGCTCGTCTGCAGCCAGCTCTGAGGCTGGACAGGTGCTCCCAGGGGTCCTGACCTTAGCCCGTCTGTTCAGGTCTCAGCTCTGCCCGACTCAAGTCTTGGTTCTGGACAGCCCCTGTCTGGATCCCCTCAGCCGTCAGACCTTCGTAGCACCGATGAAGAAGGTCCAGCTCTTGGCTGTAGTTAGTGTCAGAATGGCAGCGCGGCGTCGTGGCGGCGTCACGCCTCGGCGTACGGCAGGTGGTACTGCTCCTCCCTCTTGTTGCAGCGTTTGGCCACGATGGCCAGGTACAGAACCAGCAGGACCAGCCAGTAGCAGCCATAAAGCACGGTCCCAGCTATCAGCAGCGCCTTCTCCGTGTCGCTGAAGGGCTCCTGAGTTTCACAGTAGATGGTATAGGCCACGCCCCCCAGCAGCACCAGAGCCCACGCCGTGACCGGCACGGCGCCGATGAGGTTGACCACGATGGTCCTGCGGCCCGAGGTGCCCCAGCCGGCCTTGTTGATGGTGAGCAGGGCGAAGATCTTGGCGGGCAGCAGGCTGGACATGTAGAGCAGCGAGTAGAGCGACATGAAGATCATGACCAGGCTGCCCCGCAGGAAGCAGGCGTAGGTGGCCTTCACCATGGCCACCAGCTGCACCGTCAGCAGGAACAGCAGGATGTTCCACAGGCGCCCGCGGTAGAACAGGTGGATGACCGTGGCCACCAGGAAGAAGGGGAAGAAGCCGGTGACCACGGACTCGTAGGTCATCCACAGGCTGTGTTTGTGGAACCACAACGCGTTGTAGAGCCACTCGCGGAAGTAGGACTTGCTCCAGCGGGTCTGCTGGTTGAGCCAGCGCAGGTACTGGGTGGGGGTCTCGGTCCGGCACTGGGACCGCGCCGTGAACTTGGTCTTGTAGCCGAAGCTGAGCACCCGGTTGGTCAGGTGGCGGTCGTCACCAAAGCTGCACTTGGAGCCCAGGAAGGTCTGATGGTACCACGGCTCCAGGAAGCGCTGTAGCAGGGAGTTCCTGTACATCCCCAACGGGCCACTGATGCACTGAACGCAGCCAAAGTACGACTGGCACGCCCGCTCCACGTTGAAGGCCATCCAGTACCGCACGCTGCTCAGGAAGGAGATCCACGAGTCGTACTTGTTGAGGATCTGACAAAACACAGACACATGACTGGATCAGCAGCTTTGGCTTTCTGTGGTCCAGTCCTGGTCCAGTCCTGGTCCAGTCATGGTCCAGTCATGGTCAGCTGTGGTCCAGTCCTTGTCCAGTCATGGTCCAGTCATGGTCAGCTGTGGTCTAGTCCTGGTCCAGTCATGGTCAGCTGTGATCCAGTCCTGGTCCAGTCATGGTCCAGTCATGGTCAGCTGTGGTCCAGTCCTGGTCCAGTCATGTTCAGCTGTGGTCCAGTCCTGGTCCAGTCATGGTCCATTCATTGTCCAGTCATAGTCAGCTGTGGTCCAGTCCTGGTCCAGTCATGGTCAGCTGTGGTCCAGTCCTGGTCCAGTCATGGTCCAGTCATGGTCAGCTGTGGTCCAGTCCTGGTCCAGTCATGGTCCAGTCATGGTCAGCTGTGGTCCAGTCCTGGTCCAGTCATGGTCCAGTCATGGTCAGCTGTGGTCCAGTCCTGGTCCAGTCATGGTCCAGTCA